TAATGAGGGCTGTTTTCCAGCACTTAGTAGGTCTGTTCATTACATATTACTTTTACATGTGCCTGTGTAAAAAATCTGCGAAGTGCTGGTGATAAAGTGACTTGAAATGAACAAGAGTTTCATTCAGTAAGTAAATGTAATTTGAGAATATAATTTGATGGGCTTAATTCTTGGGCTAAAAGTCTGTTTTCTATTAGTTACAAAGTCTTGAATTCATAGGTTATACTTAACTATGACCACTGACTATGACTTCTCATATCTGCCCCCGTAATAACGTCTGTCTTTAATTCTGTTTCCTTTCTCCTAATTTTTTTAAAGTCATTTTTTAAAAAATATTTTATTTATTTATTTGACAGACAGAGATCACAAGTAGGCAGAGAGGAAGGCAGAGAGGCAGGCAGAGAGAGAGGAGGAAGCAAGCTCCCCGCTGAGCAGAGAGCCCGATGCGGGGCTCAATCCCAGGACCCTGAGATCATGACCTGAGCTGAAAGCAGAGGCTTTAACCCACTGAGCCACCCAGGCACCCCTCCTTTCTCCTAATTTTAATAGGAGATGAGGGAATTGCTATCATTTCACTAATATATATATATTGGTGAAATAGCGCGTTCAGGGTGCTATGGCCTAGACGAAATATTGATTCCTAAAGTTTAACTTAAATGATTACAGATTTACTTGTCTGTAATTTTTATAAGAAGAGTTGGAGTCCTTAGAAAATAAGAAGGGAGACAATATAAATATATATATATATTGGTGAAATGATAAAATGATATACATATATATCATTGTAAATGATATATATATTAATGATAGTAATGATAGTAAAATTATATATATATATACATATCATAGTAAGTATCATAGTATAGTATACTGTACTATGTATACTATAGTATGTATACTATACTATGTATACTATAGTACAGTAAGTATCATTACTAAGTGGAATCTGAGAACATTCTTATATAATCAAATTTGTGCTTGTCTGGAAATCCACTGGCCGAAAGAGAAAGATTACAAAATGAGTCAAATACATGGAAATGGTCTTTTACTTACACTAACAGCTCTCTCTCATCACCATTTTTTAAATTTTAAATATATTTAATTTATTTATTTGAGAGAGAAGATGGAGGGAGGAACAGAGGGAGAGAGACAAGCAGACTCCGGGCTCAGCACAGAGCCCAACACGGGGCTCAATCCCGTGACCCTGAGATCATGAGCTGAACCAAAATCAAGAGTTGGACACTTAACCGACCAAGTGACCCAGACATCCCTCATTACCAATTATTGGGTAGATCTTTTTCAGCCACCATATCTTACCTTCGGCTTGGTAATGCCTGCACGAAAGCAATACAGAGTAAATTGTGTTTTTTCAGCATACATCTCTCTACATTTAAAAGTCATTCTTAGTGGGCTCAGATTTTATGAGAGTGAGCTAAAGTGGAGCATCAGTGACCATAAAGTATAATATTATTCTGCTTTAGCATTTTAGTACACCGTTCTCATTCCTACCACTTACGTGTATACATAACATTGTTTTCAGTGCTACTCAGACATGACTCCATTGGTGAATGCTAATTCAATTAAACATATCCCAGCTGTCTTCATTTGGCTCCCTACATCAGCAGACTCAAAGATTCGAGTGTGAGAAGCTTATTTGGGAGGTGATACAGCAAGTATCAGTAGGGGTGTGGGGAAGGAGACAGGGAAGAGAAAGAAGCCAATAAAAGGTGTGCTAGCAAGAAGGTAAGCCACCACTGTGAGTTTTTTGGAGCTCCATCTTGTGGGGAGAATATAGGAGATCATGCAGGACACACACGAGAGAGATCTCTCTATATACACCCGTTCACTCAGTCATTGGCTGAGGGCTGTTCCCAAAGGGTAATTCTCTGTCATTTCCATCCTGCCATGTGCATTGCAGTGAGTAGAAAGGATATCAGCAGCTTCAGAGACAGCTCTCCAGCACAGTGATGCATATAACTTGCAGTTGAAAGTAGACCAGTAGACTCAGAAGTGGTAAGACCTAAAGGGTATAGACAGAGTCCTAATGGTATCCATGCTACAATCCAAACAGTTGTGTCTTATGATATCCTAGAATAAGTATAGTGAGAAGTAATGTGGTTCGCTAAAAATTTAATCTTGCAAGACTCTTCTTATTAGTGATGCCAAAACCCTTACATATACCTCTATCACAAAGAATTATCACAAATTTTTCTTACTTGTTTTCTTTTCAATTACCTTCTTTTTTCACCTTTCCATAAAACCTTTCTTGATTGCCTGACCACAAGAAATCTGTCTCCTTTAAAGTCAACTAGTATTTCTTGTCCACACCAATTATTTGCGGTAACCATGTCCCAGGCCCACTTTGTAATATTATTTCCATATTTATGCACCCATTTTTTTCACATTAAAAAAATTTTTTTTAATTGATTTGACAGAGAGAGAGAGAGAGAGAAAGAGAGCAAGCATGAGCAGGGGCAGAAGAAGAGGGAGAAGCAGACTCCCACTTGGTGCTCAGTCCCAGTACCTCAGGATCATGACCTGAGCTGAAAGCAGATGCTTAACTGACAGAGCCACCCAGGCAACCCCCAACCCCCCGTTATCCACATTTTGATATATACTTTTACATCCCAGTACCTAGCACTTAGTGGACATCCAAAAAAATTTTGCTTATCTTACTGCAAATAAAGGAAATATTGATTCCTCCCATCCAAGTACTAACCAGGCCCAATGCTGCTTAGCTTCTGAGATCAGACGAGATCGGGCGCGTTCAGGGTGGTATGGCCATAGACGAAATATTGATTCCTAAAGTTTAACTTAAAATGATTACAGATTTACTTGTCTGTAATTTTTATAAGAAGAGTCAGAGTCCTTAGAAAATAATAAGGGAGCCAATATAAAATGAACAACAAATAAAATCACTATGAATTTTCCTACTAAAAATAAAAGTATTTTCAAAAATTAAGAATGCACAAATATATTTTTGAGCTACACAGTATTTATTTAAATCTTCTAGGGGTACCTGGGTGGCTCAGTCGGTTAAGCATCTGCCTTTGGATCAGGTCATGATCCAGGGACCCTGGGATCCAGCCCCGAGTCGGGCTCCCTGCTCACCTTGCTTCTCCCTCTGCCTCTTTCCCTCCGCTCATGCTCTCTCTCTTTCTCTCAAATAAATAATAAAATATTAAAAAAAAAAAAAAAAAAGCTTCCAAAATAAGGCATCTCAACCACTGGCTGAATTTTAGCTCTTTATGTAGCCAGCTAAAAACTGAAAATGTTGTCTTTTATACATAAATTTAGGTCTTCTAAGATTTTACATCCCAATGGAAGAAAACCTTTCACTCCAAAATCATTTTCTTTAGTTACGATATCATTTTATGGCTTTCTTGCTTCAGTTTCCACACTCTGGTAAAAAGCAAGCCTGAAAGTTTCTATCTATTGTGATGCAGTTGAAAATGCGAAATTATAGCTTTCAGAAGAAGTGAGAAAAGACTTCCCCACCCACCCATATCCCACACCCAGCTGAAAGCCTGTGATTTTCTCCTTGTGGAAACAAATAACTGGATTGTGACTGACCTACGTCTTGCAGCCTTGAAATATGGTGGCCTTGCAGGAACCATAGACCAAGGAATGCCTTCCTGGAAGCTTTAGTCCGCCAATGTGATTGTTCACGTGAGCAGGATGGTTTTAGCTCACACTTGAAATCCAAAGGCAAAGACAAAGCGTACATACCTCACTATTTTTCAGATACTTAAAACAACATATGCAATCAACCTGCTTTCAAAGACCATGAAAGTTCTAGTCACCTGATTGACTTTCCCTCAGAGAAATAGCGCAGTGCTGCTCATCTTCATGGCAATCTTTGTGGCTTATTTTTTTTTAAGATTTTATTTATTTATTTGACAGAGAGAGAGAGATCACAAGTAGGCAGAGAGAGTGGGGGGAAGCAGGCTCCCTGCTGAGCAGAGAGCCTGATGCGGGGCTTGATCCCAGGACCCTGAGATCATGACCTGAGCCAAAGGCAAAGGCTCAATCCACTGAGCCACCCAGATTCCCCAATTTGTGGTTTATTTTTAAAAAGATTTGTTTAGGTGTGCCTGGTTGGCTCAGTCGGTTAAACATCTGCCTTGGGCTCAGGTCATGATCCCAGGGTCCTGGGGTCCAGCCCCACATCAGGCTCCCAGCTCAACGGGGTGCCAGCTTCTCCCTTTCCTGCTCCCTCTGGTTATGTTCTCCCTCTCTCTCTTTCTCTGTCAAATAAATAAATAAAATCTTTAAAAAAATAAAAAGATTTGTTTATGTCTTGCTGTCTTCAGTAAAGTGAGAAATAAATTCAGAACTCCAGCAAAGTGAGAAGTAAGTTTGAACTTCAGTTGCAAAGAGACTACCTCTGCATGCCATTGCTTTAATCAAGACCACACAACCTTTTTCATAAAACTATCACATACAGACATGGTAAGTCTATAAAGATATATATGGTATGTGTTAAAAATAGAAGTGCATACAAACCAAATCATGTGTTTTGAAAAATAAGCCAATACCTCAAATAAAATCTTAGAGGTATTGTGTATAAAAAGATTCAAGATCTAATCTGAAGATTGTCGAATACATAATGAAATGGAACAGATTATGTAGTGAATGTATGACTAACACCGAAATGTGGATATAAATTCCTTTCATCTTAGAACACACTCTAAAGGAAGTTTTTCATGCATAATAATTTTAGCAAGCTAACTTATTTATAATTTTATTTTATGATTTCCCCTACTGGAAACTTTTCAAGAGAAACTACTTAGTGTTGGGAAAAATAAAAATCTATTCATTCCTTTTTTTCCCCTCTCTCTTTTATAGTTTTATTTAAAACATACTTTCTCAGGAATTCCTGTAGATATTTAGATATCTTCATAGTCTCTTAGAAGAAAAACACATATTTCAAGGCATCTGTAAAATCTATAAATACAATGGAATAGAACCTGATTGAATAAAAAGGATGTTCACTCAAGGTGAGAACATCTTCCTAAATTCCGGATTTCTTGCAGATGGTTATTTTGAAGTGTTTTGTTTCATCCCAGTGAAATTTTAGTATTTCAGGCAACTTGCCCATCTGTTAAGTCTTGAATTGTGTTCATCGAAGCAGCAAAAAATAAGTAACAGTAACAATGAATTTTCAAAGCAAGACTTAGAATACAGAGGCCATAGTTCAAATAGGATAAAATATGTTCAAACATGATTTTTAAATAATTGTTTACTAGCATGTCGGTAACAAATATTTTGATTTTTAATGACAATTGGGGAAAAGCATATATTTACTTTCAAATCCTGGGAACTTTTCTGGGACTAAGATAAAATATCAGCCAGTTTTAACAGTGGGAGCCAACATTATATAAGAGAGTTTCTCACAATGATGAAGTGCCCCAATGCCTTCTATTTTATGATTTAACTATGTGGGATTCCAGAATCAAATTCTAAGGGGAATAATAGTTAAAAGCAACAGTAGGGTTTATTTAAAATATGCCTTTTATCTTTTCACAATGCAGACCACTGAGAACAAGATCCATTCTTAGAGGATGGAAGTCAAAAAGCAGAAATGAGCCAAAGCCTATTAATACAATGAGTACATCCAAATTTTCACAGTGACAGCAGACCTAGTTCACTCAGAGGTTAGTTAAATAATTATTTTAAGGACTCACTGTCCTTTCTGGGAAGATGAGCTGTGTAATGTCAAAAGCTCTCATGATATGAAAAATTAGAACAGTCTTGAACATAGATTAATATCTATTCATAAAATACTGGCTTCACTTACTGAATTACAGGAGGCACATTAAATGTTTATTTAGAATTTTACAGTAAGCATACTTGTGCTGAAATCACAATATCCACTTATCTCTATTAGACAGATGTTGCTAGGCCCAGTGCAACTGCCAAGTCTAATGTAGGTTGTATATTACAATCATGGGTACATTCGGCTTTTGCTGCTTTTGATGGGGGGAGGATGAAAATTAATTACTATAGAAGTTGCTATGAATTTTGGGAGGGAAATTGCTTTCTGGATAACCATTTAAAGTTTCTAGAAGACTGAGATTTTGGGTTAGTTTCATTCACTGTTAATATCCCAGTGTTTATGTTTGAAATATAGTAAAAGAATTTTAAAAGATATTTTGGATAAATGAATTATATCAATACAAAGGATTGCTAGAAGAAAAATGTAAATAGACAACACATTTGGGAGATCTCTTCTCCAATTCAAGAGTTTTAAAAACATGGATGGTAACTACTGTGATTTCTTTTTATTACTCTCATTACGGTGCTGATGACTCCCCATTCCGATTAGGTTGGAGTGACGATATCAAGAATGAGAATCTATGTATTCTAGAAAAATCTGTTATGTTTTAGACTTCTATCATAAATCGTGTCATCTTATAGAATTTCAATTTATTCTTTGTCCAAACTTGTTTGTTGCATTAATTTACTCCATGGATGTTACTTTTTTCCTTTCTTCTGCCTCCTTTAATTTCCTTTCCCCCACAAATGCTTCCATTTTTGATTCTCCATGAGTATTAATACTATTTCCATTATACTAACAAATACAAAGGAATTAAATTATCAGCATCAAAACTCCCAAACTAAACCCACTATTTTCTTTCCAAATTTGGCCTCTATCCAGTCCTATGAAGACTTTATAGTGTTAGAATGTACTAGTAATTACCCAGGTTTCTCAATGTCTCCTTAGACCACTCTCTCCAGTCCTCTTCATCCAATAGGTCATTGAGTTTAACAGAGTTTTTTTTCAAAAATGTATTTCAAACAAATCCCCTCTTTTGCCTTTTCTCTGTTAATCACCTATGATCAATCTCTCTTCATATACAAACACTTCTCTGCAAAAGTCGCTAGGATTTGGTTACTCCCAAACCTAATGTAATTTCATTCATTCTTCTCAAACTTCTTCAATTACGTTCCCAGAATACAGATATGTCATTTCTCAATTCAGAATCATATCACAAGTCCTTAAAGCTTGCAGAACCAAATCCAGCATGACTGTCAAGATCCATCATAATCGTTTTTGTTCGTTTGTTTTTTAGGATTTTTATTTACTTATTTGACAGAGAGAGAGGCAGCGAGAGAGGGAACATATGCAAGAGGAGTGGGAGAGGGAGAAGCAGGCTTCCCGCTGAGCAGGGAGCCCATTGTGGGGCTTGATCCCAGGACCCTTGGATCATGACCCGAGCCAGAGGCAGATACTTCACCAACTGAACCACCCAGGTGCCCTGAGATCCATCATAATCCATGTAGCATACACTTCTTTGCTGGTCAGTTGCATATCTGGGTCTCCAGACCTTGTGATCCTCTGAACACCACATGTACAATATTTTGTTTGTTCTTTTGTTGCTATTAATTTAATGGTATGACATGTCCTTCTCGTCTTCGACTCCAGCAAATCCTACTCATTCTTTAAGGCTGAGATCAAAGGCTAGCTCGATATTCATATTCTACCTCTTTGATTTCTAGTTCTTCTACCTATGCATTAGGTTGGCCCCTAATCCATCCTTAATGACTCAGCTGATACTTAAGGGTGACATTTGTGAAAATAACCCTCGGATTATTTATGCTGAATATAACCAAATGCATTTTGTAGATCTTTAAAGAATATCAACTCACAGGCCAAAGATGAAAATATCTAGCTCAATGAAATGTGTCAATAATCAAACCTAAAAGACATACAAGCTATTAAAGATGAAGCTTTTTAATGTCATTATTTTGACCCTCACTTTGATGTTTGACTGTATTTATCATTGAAATGAAAATAGTGCAGCCTCTGAAGTTACTTTGATTAGTTTATTTCTGTCCCAGGGCCTTTTTTTTTTTTTTTTCCTATTCACTCTGTGAATGTGATTCATCTTTTCTTCATTTTCACTCAGCAGTGCCACAGGATTTTATCTTCAAACGGAATATTTAGTAGCAAAGATCATCACATTTTTAGGCTGTCTTTATTTATCACCTAAGATAGCAGTGATAATAATACAAAATATTAATTGTGCTTTTACTCTCTGTCAGGCATCCTGTTGAGGGTTTGTTCATAGATCCTTTCATGCAATTATTTCTCACCCTGTGATGTGGGTACTATAATTATCTTTTATAATTCCTGTAACTACTTTTAGAATGACTTAAAAGCTGCTTTTAAAATATAAACATTTAATTTTCACCAAAAATATAAAGTGCTAAACTTCATTAGTTATGAAGCGAATATAAATTAAAACTACAATCTAGTATTTCTACTTAGAATGGCTGCAATGAAGAAAGCAATACCGGTTATCTGAAATGGACCAGCTGAAATTGTAATACATTGCTAAAGGCAGGAAAAATTGGTCATGGTAACACTCTGGAAAGCTGTTTGGCAGAATCTACTAAAGCTAAAAAGATATAACCCAGCAACTGACTCTTATTTAAATGCCCTCAGAAACTGTGCACCAAAAGTCAGGGGCAAGGATGTTCATAACAGCACTATTTGTCGCTCAAACTGAAAAATACTAATGTCCTTCAATATCAGAATGGATAAATAAATTGAAGTATAGTCACCTAAAATAACTCATGCACAGCAAAGAGAATCAACAAATTACAACTGCATGCAACACAATTGTATCTTATAATCATGATGTTGAGCAAAAGATGCTGAAGGATACCTACTCTCTGATTTTTTTAATGTAGGGTTCAAAAAGAGGCCAATACTATGTGGGAGTAGACGTTAGAATAATGGGTCCCTCCCCAGGAAGCTGAGTAATGTTTGATTTCCTGATCTGGTTGTTAGTTGCTTGGATGTGCTCAATTTGTGAGAATGCATCAAGTTGCACACTTAGGATTTTTGTACTTTCTCACATGTACATTATTCTTCAATCGAAATTTTCCATATGAAAGTAAAAGCTTGCTATTTTCCCTAGAGCTGTGGCCTGATGCTGGAGGACAACAGCTATCCTGTGACCAGGAAGCAACTTCATCGCACAGCGGCTCCTCAGTTAGCAAATGATTGTCAGAGTAATTGACTTGAAGTCACATAAGGAAGATTTGGAAATACGGAGAATTCAGATTTCTCACCAGAGATGATCTTTGCCATGTCTCTGGTCCTTCCCTCACCTTGCTGCCAAGCACGCTCCTGCCTTGTAGCTTCTCCCCTGAATGATTTCATCTGCTTTGGAAGCTCTCCCTACTGAGATATCTCCAGAGCTTCTGCCTCTTCTCAAGTTCATCTCACCAGAGAGGCCCGCCTTCAACTCCACCTAGAAAAGGTCAGCATTTCTCTCCACTACGTCATCTATATTTTCGCCATTAATATTCTTATCTGTGCCATTTAAAAAATTTGTTCATTGAACTACCTCTGTCCGGTCAGACACAAGCTCTGTTGGGGCAAGGGTTTTGTGCTCTTTAGTTCCTGGCGATAACCGCAATGCTTTCAAAATTCTTGGGACATATAGACAAGGCATATGACAGCTATTTTTGATTGAATGATGTTGACATATGATTTTATCAAAGCCACCCGCAATCCCCAGGACATTTGACCATCATCCCCTTTTCTGCTACATTGAAAATATGGCCACTCAACTGCCAGGTGGGAAGGTCTGAGGATCCCCTGACCCACCGACCTCACTTCCTGTGATTTCAATGTGAGGCTTCTCTCAGAATGTGAAGGTCTGGATGGTCTCTTCTCTCTCAAAAAAACCTTTCAAAAATTAAATCCTCAACTTTAAGACTCAGTTTTACACATCATTTTAAAACACCCAAAGCCCTAAATCCTCTCTTCACTTTCTCCGTATGATTTTGTGTTATCACTTTGATACTTGGACCCCAAGGCAATAGTTTTCGTATCCTGGGAGACAGGCAGGTCTTAGGGTCAAGGGGAGGATCTCTTAAGATATCAAAATTATATCCTCGCACATATATATACATATGTATATATGTATATATATATATATACACACACACATACATACATTGCCATGTATGCCACCTATCATGTGCTTAGCATAT